ATACCTTGATTTCATAGCAGTGTACGTGGGCCTCCGATGAAGAACAAGGACGTAGAGGAAAAGTATCGTCCGTGATATATGTGTACTTTCGCGACGATTGAAGAATTTAGAGCAAATTTATGGTCGTTTTCCTTCAGTAGACTTGTTCGGCTCGGGTCACCCAGAGTGCCCAACCTTGGGAAAGGATATAAGCAGTGAAAAGAAAAACCACCTTAATGGCCATAGTCTGTCCACAGAGGTTTCACCCCCTTGCGCTTTGGCTTTTTTGTATCCCACGCGCTCAAGACAAATGGAGGACTGAAATGGTCATAAATTGGCCTAAAAACCTCACGGGAATCAAGGAAGCACACACCTGAAGCAAGGTAGGTTTATCTTTTTTCATACTCCTTCACAACTTACAAATAAGCCCTAAAAATATGTCCCTACGGCGTCCTGAATGACAGCGCTGGCTCGCTGTCAATCAAAGTGTCCCAAAAAAATTCATGTGAATAGTTTGCATAATATATATGCTTTCTCAGTCAACGCAAGGAAGTAGGCGAACCAACTGTTCTAAACTACCGGTGCTATCAAGCAAGTAAGGGGATATGAAATCGCATACTAAAGTGACTTTCTTTCTGTTACTCGCTGTCACTCCAAATGGTAAGGAGTTAATGCAAAAAATATGTTTATAAGCTTATCCAAATTTCTTGTCCTTGAAATTATTGAAATTGTGAAGATAACTGAGTAATGTTTTGTGCAATTTGCCTTGTGGCTAGCCAACAAGACATTTCGTCGTAAAAACATATTTGAATTCCACAGTTAGCTTAGTAAGATTCAAACAGCTCCTTCCAGCACTGGGTAATCTGTTCGTTTACATGATCCTGGTGCAGTAGAAACGTACCTAACTTTCTCGAGTTGCCCGCGTTTTGTATTTACATTCTTTCATTATAAACACTCTGTGAGACAGGTTCGTTAAGGCAAGCTGTATTACGCAACACTTTATGCCTGTGGTTTAATCAATACCACAAATATAAAACTGCCACTAAAAGGATAAACAGCGATAACTCATGCCTACAAATTTTGACTTGATTCGGCAAATTTGAAAACATTGTAGATTTTGAACTGTTCCGCTCTATTGTGTTAAAACAATATCAAAGCTTAGAGACAATCAGATGTTTTAAGTGCTCGTGCAATGTTTCCGTAAACAGTCTCCCTAGTAGAGTCAGTTTACCACAACTGCATGCAGAATGTTGCAAACTGAACTTACTGAGTTTAAACTAAAGCTATCCGCACTGTGTAATGATGACCAGAGCCGGTGGATTTATCGATGGTCCAGATATTGATATTTTTTTGCTGCGCGGTTATTACATCAGCCGTGCAATATCGTGCTTATATGCATGTATATTAATCTTTGAACCTGAACGATGTTACCAAACACACGAATTCATGTAGTGGTCATTTATTATGTCAGTGTCGTCCGTTTTCTGTCGCAGTCATCAAAACTAAGTAATAATTCTGGCAAAAGCCTGAATTGGGCCCTAACTGTGTGAAACGTCCTAAGTTACTAATCAACATCAGCAACAAGGACAATTTGAAGTAAATCCGTCCTGACCGCGCACGTGATGTGGTTGCCCAAGCGCGTCAAAAACAATCAAACAATAACTTACATCAGAATGGCAGTATCTGACTTTCTGATCGGTCTTAAAAGGAGTTTAACCTTGTTGGAAAGTATTGTGGCTAACTCGTAAATAAAGTTGCATTTGCCCTTCAAAGGATATGAGCTTGCGGTTTTCCATCTTCTATGAAACTGTTTTTGGTGAATGTGCTTTATACGTCACAGAAGCAAAAGTATCATGAGCATGCTTTGTGATTGTCCATCGTGATTTAAAATCCAATTTTTCTTTACATGACGCATGATGTTATTCACTTTATTAAGTGAATCGTGACCGCTTACCAGTTGCTGATCCACTTGTAAGGGTCTCAATGGGCTTTACCGTTAACCGTAAAACAGACCAAAACTTTAGCCGTTAGGCGTGAAAATTACAAATTTTAACCGTTAACCGTAAAACCTTGTTTTCACAAGCGACGCAAGCGCAAGCACAAGCGCAAGCACAAACGCAAGCAATAGGGATGACCCAAATTTACAGAATTCGACGTAAACACAAGCACAAGCAAAATCATCCGAATCTTCCGATATGTTTAGGCGCGAGGTAATCTGGATCCATTGTTTTCGTTGCCCAAACTTTACCACGTGTAGTAAATATCCTAGTCCTTGCGTTATGCCTGAGCGGTATTTCGTTTTCAATCGTTGCAGCGCAAACGCAAGCATAAGCCCAAGCACAAGAAAAAGGAAAAATTTGATCCTTGTGTTTGTGCTTGCGCTTGTGCTTAGACCTGCCTCAGGGGCGTTTTCACGGTGAAATAAGAATTATTGTGTTTGCGCTTGTGCTTGGGTCGCTAGTGAAAATCAGGCTTAAAAAAATTCTTGCTGTAAAACAATTTTGTGCTTTGTCTTGAGGCTTGAAAGCTATCTGAAGTTCTTAAAATAATATACAGTAATATCTTTTTCCGTCCTGGAATGGTCCTACAATGGTGATTAATTTACAAGATTTCTATTAACAGAAAGGGAAATAATTTAACCGTTAGCCGTAAAAACTACCAGGCACCCTACTGAGACCCTCACCGTGGATCGCCTGAAATGACGACCAGCGGTAAGAGAGTGGTAGAGTGGGTCTAAATCACGTTTCTCAGAAAATAAAAAGGTCCATTCACAACTCAATGAAAGAGAATTGGGCTTTTCACCTTTCGCGACGGAAAGAAGGATATTTTCCTCACACGAACGTACAAAAGTAATGAGATTGTGAAGCATCATGTCCAAAGCAAAGTCTTTTTCTCACATCTTTGCCACTAAAGACTAATGCAGAGGGATCGAACGCTTTGGCCGTCACGGTTATGCAATGAGAATATGTCTTGAGAAAAATAGAAGGAAACCAAAATCTTCCTTGTAGTAGTAGGTTCTGCATCTGCCGTTTTTTTCCCAGGGAAAACGTGTCCGTTTTAAGTGGTATCTTTAAGACGTCAAATGAAGCTCAAGTCACACCCAGGTTGGTCTCCTTTACGGGCTCAATTCAACTTTCCATTGAGCATTCCCGACCCGGGCCCCGACCTTTTCACATGGGAGTCCCCAGCGAGGGGTTTCTGCCTTCGTTCTCAGTGGCGGATTCAGACCTTGANGGGGGGGGGGGGGGGGGGGTTGCTTGCCCTGCCGGCTTTTCTTCCTTCTGCAATTTCATTTTACCCAAAATAAGGGGGGACCGGGCCACCCGGCCCCTCCCCTAGATCCGCCACTGGTCCTGTACATGAATGGAGACAATAGAATACATTTGACGCATGCTTTGGAATGACTATTTCCTTGGATGTATAATTAAGCATACTGTAATTTGTTAAATATCTCCTAAACATACTGATTTCTGTTGTAGTTCTTGGTCTGAATTGCCACAAATGTTCAAGCACAAAATCTTGGGAAGACTGCAGCACCGATTTATCACAGCTACCTTGCCCCCAGAGTGACGCAATTTGCTACAAGACTCATTACACGACCAATGATGGAAGTTTTCAAACGTTTGGAAAATCCTGTGGACCTGAAAGTTTCTGCGAGAAAGAATCTAATCCCATCTGTAAGGATCATCTTGGTCCTTCAGAATGTATCGTTAATTGTTGTGACGAAGATTTGTGCAACGGAAGCCCAATTGCACGGGTCAGCGGCCTTGCGGTGATGTCATGTATTCTCGTCATGATATTGTATCGGTAAAGACATTACATAGACCTTTATTTCATTCCATGGGTTTGTGCAATGTTATTGAAAATACAATATTCCAGTTGAATATGAAGGTATTTTTATTGATTTGAAGACATTTTCGCATAGCACTTCCCAGCCCCCTTAGCTCTGACAGAGCCATCTTTAAATGCCGGCTTACTGCGGGGAAATGCCTTTCATTGAAGAAACAAATGTTCTGCAAGTTCCTTTAGACAGCACATCTACTTTCTATGATTATATTTGTCGAACGCGATCAATCACTACAAGCTTCAAGTGGTTATATAAAATAGGATCCAAATTGTGCTTAAATGCTGGGTTCCGGCATCGCTTCGACAGCCTTGCCCCTTGGAAAAGGCTCCTTACAAGAAGAGGTCATGCTGGCGGTCACGGCTGGCACAGCCTCTGGTATGTAGAACTGCACCTCCGGAGGTTTCTTTTCGACCATGTCCTTCCAGCCTTCAGGCTCTAATTTCTTTCTCCCACGGCACTAGATCGCGTGATAAGTAAAAACATAGGCATGCTGCATTAAGGTGTAAAAAGGTAATAAATAGAATAATTACATATATAGAGGATATTACACGGTGGCGAGAAGATAT